CACATGATTTCTCTGAGGTGGGGGAACAACTCGAGTTTTGAGAGGGGCTGATGATCTAAATGATGACGCGCCTTTCGGGGGTCCAGTGTTTGTACTTTGAGTTGAAGGCCCGCACCGTGACGAACGTGGGCTAGCCGACGAAGGATTGATTCAGAAACAACCCCTCATCATGTAGGCCTTCGAGTGAGTTTATCTTCATTGGACTGTAGGACTGAGTTCGACTCCGCGATTCTGGGAGCAATTCACCGTGCCTGCAGAATATGAGCTTTTCAGAGTCTCGCTCAGGCCCGCGCATTGATGAGCTTATCTTTTCGTTGATTGCGAGAGCCATGGACAGTTTAAGCTGGACTCTTTTCGTCTGTAGGCATCCGCGGAAGTCAAAGCAAGGCTTCTCGGTTGGAACTGTGTACCATCGATAAACTTTTGCATCCCATAAGAGCTCGGAAAATTGCGGCTTCCACTTTTTCGCCCAACAGCTCTCTGACAAGTCCTGGAAGACAAAGGCTCCCTCTCTCATTGGTTGTTCTCCTGAACTAAATCAACTCGGTTTCCCACGAAACGTTCATAAACGAAAAATGATCAGCGAGGTTTCCTATTGCAGTCACTATGGATCGATACTCACGATTCGCCTGCCCTGAAACGTCTCTCTCTGAGTTTGCATTCTTTTATCGACTTCATTCTTGGAACGACGCTCTCCAGAGACGACAGAATCACTGCTTAGGGACATTCGATTTGCGGTGGAGTCGAACCAAAATAAGTTCTTTCGAGATGAGGACTCCGGGCTCGGTTCTCGGGCTTCCTGTGGAAACGAGTATACATCTATGTTCCTAGTGAATGACGAACGTCATCCCTCATTCGGACGTGGTCTTCCCGGACTCCGAAAAGGATTCGTGGATCAGAAGAACCTTGACATCCGCGGAGCGATCTCTCGTCCCAAGGGTCGACGAGATTCACGGGGAATAATCTCCGCGACGAGGGACATCCGGAGACATGCTCTTGTTACATAATGTTCGACGCTGGTGCGGGATCGCCCGCAGCTCTGAACTCACGTAGCGTTCTATCATGACTCCCTATCGCGACGTATGTTTTTCTCGCAATGTGTGCTCGCTATTTGTGGCCCAAGCAATGGCATAGAGTGGCGAGTCTCCGTCCAGCGAATGGAGTTCTGATCCCTCGAATGTCCGTGAATCGGTTCTCTCGAGCTCGATTCATCCTGATATCGGATCCTCGAGAACAATAACGGAGAGACACGGACACTTTCGAGCTCACAGACTGGGAGATCATCGCATCGTGCGCGGAATCAGGGACTATGGACGATGCTGGTCTGAGCCGCCGGTATACCTGAGTGATACAAGATAGCCGATGATGTACGGGCAGACAGAAGTCGAGGGCGATACTTGAGGATAGCTTTTTCGACGATGACTGAGGGGAGCTTATTCTGTCCATAGGAGCGCGAGGGAATATTATCCGGTACATGACAATTCATCGCCGACCAACTCATCGCCGAAATCTCAACGCCGCGCCGGATAGCTAAACACCGAGACGACTTAACGCCGAGACAACTCATCGCCGGACAAGCTAACGCCGGAACAACCCAGCGCTGGACAACTGATCGCCGGTCTACTTAACGTTGAAACTTAGCCTGCTCCGGATGTTCTTCGCGCAAATATGATGCGTTCAGTTCAGATCAGATGATGCGTTCCTGCTTCGTCCTATTTATGCCGTTTCATTCTCACATGACCTCATGACAAGTCTTGAGCGTAGAACCTGCTAGGACGGCCAGAACCTCGGCAGTATTCATCGACCACGTCCACTTAGGTACTTTTTATCGAGCTTTCTCCGATATACAAGCAATCATTCGAGGTTTCGTAAGGAAAGTCTTAGCGCACCCGCGTGAGTATTCGACTACCGTAAACGTGAGGAAGTCGTTTACTCGTCTGAAAGTACCTGTCGACAAGCTGTGTACTTGGGAAAGCAAATCATCTGGACGCATCATTTTCAAGCAGTGTGCCTCTTGAGCTAGGATCGAGTTAGCGACATGTTCTCGGCGTTGAGTTGACCGGACCCGACAGGTTCTCGGCGTCGAGTTGACCGGCGATCAATTGTCCGCCGTTAGGTCGTCCCGGCGCTAGCTTGTCCGGCGATGAGTTGTCTCGGCGTGGAGTTGTCTCGGCGTAGAGTTGTCTTGGCGTTGAGTTGACTCGGCGTTGAGCTATGCGGCGTTGAGGAGTCGGCGTTGAGATCTCGGCGATGTGTTGGTCGGCGATGAGTTGTCTGTGTCCGAATATTATCACCCCTTCGGGAGACCCGACCAAATACAGTGGAGCTTCGCTGTGATGGACTTGAAGAGACCGGCGGAAACGGCTCCCTATATCCGAGGCCCCGCAACATCCAAAGAAGGATTCCAAATCGGACTTGAGCATGGAAATCACCGCTGTAGTCTCTCTAACGACGCGCATGAGGGCGAGAAACCTCGCGAATCGTCTGATACGCTATCGCTCCTGAACGTCCCACTCGCAAGGTCAAGGTTCCTTGAATCCAATTTGAGCATGGGAGGAGATTGTGTAGCCCCAGATGCCCGAATCCCAGATGCCCGACTAGTGGGAGTTTGGCTTAGGTTGAAAATCTTTAAAATATGACATTGTGAGGCGATAGCAGCCACCGACTTGGGTTTCATACAGTAGGTGCCATCTCTCCTTCTACTAGGCTTCAGAGCCGAACAGCCTCCTGCATGTCGGGCATCTGGGAGTCAGGCATCTGGCGTTGGACCGAGGAGGTAGGCCCGCGCCTGAAGATCAGTCCGTTGTATATATCCGGGACTCCGTTATTGGATCTGCTTTCGGCGAGACTCCTAATCTCGAAGGTCCCATAGGCTCGTCCGGGACCGAGGGTCCGGTATATCCGGGTCGATTATGCGGAGCTTTCACTTGAGATCAAGAACAATGTGTAAGAAGCGAAGATCGTGATCATATTCATAGGTTGCATATCCGAGTGGAATAGCCTGACATGAATAGGCGAGGCAGGAACATGGAAGACAACAGACAGGTCAGCTCGAGCCTTATGTCGGAGCCATTCGCAGCGTAGAGCAATTCGATTGCTGCAATTAACAACGGAGGGGAAGAGCTTGTGGAGGGCAAAGAGACACGTGTCCCACTCGACTGACTTAATGAGATAACCAATTGGCCTAGTCTCTTCCGAAAATCGAGTTGGCCGCCATAGAGCGATCAGAGAACAGCGTCTTATATCTCGTCTCCGCATCAGGACCGCTGTCTCGAATTCGAAAGCGGAAAACGGCGGTAGCGTGGCTCCTGTTTCGCATCTGTTGTGACTCGACTAACCCTGTCAGACTGCGTCGACCATATTTCACCGAAGCATTGTGTCTCGTCAATAGCAGCTTCTCGGCGCGGGAATCGTTGGAGTCTATCTCGTACCTTGAGATGAAATGTATATCTGTGCTCGGGCCGAATAAGAGACAGCGTCTTCCGGTCCCACGAACCGGATTCTGAAGTCGACGAAGAGTCATTTCATTCCTCGAAGTTGGAGCGCCTGAAATCCGTCTCGAATCTGCTTTTCCCGCCTGTTCTCGGCATGTGCGTATGCTTGTTCCGTCCCACTGATCCCTGGCGGGAGCGGCAAGACCTCCATGCCGGACCTGGGGATCAGTTTTCGCAGTGAGCGTATTCTAGAGCCGTTTCTACCATGATGAGGATCTACAAATCAGAGTCTAGAGAATGGTCACGTAGCTAGTCGAACCTTGCTCGAATGTGACTGGAGGAACGCCTCGATCGAATAAGTTCACACATTCGAGGAGAATCTGATGAGAGCGATAATGACCAAGTGTCGAAAGGTTCCCCGTGCCGAACGCGATCCATCTCCCCGATGAAAGCTTCCCAGTTGAGGGTATCATCGGCTGGCCGATCGTGACCGGTCTGTAAGGCAGAGCTGGTCAGACTGCAGCTTAGCCTTCTATCCGACCGGTCCATCGGTCGGAATGTGCGGGAATCCCTGTGCCCTGTGTTTTTGAGTCGAGTGAGATTTTTTAATGCTCTGATGCTCTGCTTGAGACGCATGTGATGGAGTTTGATACCCCGTGAGTCCCCAATGCCCCCGTGAAATCGCTCGCGACGAATCGTCCCTTGAGCTGTGAGAGAAGTCATTGCAAGAGAGCGGCATCGATTGAAGGTCGATGAACTGTTTATTATCGGTCCCAACCCGAGGTTCCCGATTTGGAACGAGAGACGGCTCTCATGATTGTTTTCAGGGGAATCGCATCTACTCCGCGCTATTTAATAGCAATACCGAATTGGGTCGGCTTCATGCATGCATAAGTCATCACGAGCAATGATCGGCAGAGACTTTGACGGAGAGAGTAATGAGCGACTATATCAGATGGAAAAAATCAGAACTGATAATAATTGGCCTTATCGGGCTCGAGCGGAAGTGGTGGGACAGCTTTCATGATCGACTGTGACCGCGCAGATTCTTGATGCCTATCCTTGCAGGTGGGATCGCGTTGTACTAGACAGCTCCAACGACGTCATCTTCCTTCTCCAGCGAACTTCCCATGAATCGGAGATGCATAAAAGTCAACCCAGATCCGCGAGAGGAATAGCTCTTTGTCTTTGATCTCAACTACGTAGAATCCCGAACAAAGACATCCAGGGAAGGTCCGTCCGCCGAGGAGACGCAGGAAGTACGCTATGAGCTTCTGCTCGCGCGAGACGTGTGCCAGAGCATCATGTGCCAATCATTCCCGTCAGAAATCGGCATGGTCGAATCAGAGGGAGATCCGAGAGTTCAAGCGGCTCTGGTTGATCGAGTTCGTAACTACTTTTCGTCTCACAGGAGAGGGAACTCGGAAGCTTACCATTTGTGGGAAAACAGCGCGAGAACAAATAGAAACATATTCACGGCCGCCGTTGTCTGATTCTCGATAGCCGGGAGCAGAGCGAACGTTGTCCTGGCTGGAGGGATCGCCTCGTCGACCACGAGATCTCAGCATGGACTTCGATGAGGTCCTGTCTCTCGTCGGTGACCTTGGTCGTTACCAAGCGTTTCTCTTCGCTGCTGTGTGCATCCCGGCGTGTTTAGCGGCGGCTGCGACAATCTTCAGTCATATCTTCATATCGGAGGTTCCAGAGCACCATTGCCGTTTCTCGGTCACATCGGAACAGGCTTCGCACCTCAATAGCAGCCTCGCTCCAGCAGAGGTAAGCTTGAGAATCAGTGAGAGCTCTTCTCTAGGTATATTATTCGTCGGATTCTCTGTAGACAAATATTCTCGAAAGAAGTTCTGCGAACGGAATGAGTGGATTCCTCCACGAAGCCGAAGACAATGGCCGGAATTCGACGGGATTCTCTCAGACCGCGTCTCCTCTGACGCACAATGGATGACTCGCTCAAGGCGTGCATGCGCTCCATGTAGTATTCTTAGCTTGAGACGCTCCACGGTTGCCATGGGGGAATCAAGGTTCACGAACCCATGGCATCAGGGCCCGTCGCGTCGAAGGAAATTATGAATTTCAGCGAATTCAATCTCAGGATCCATCCTGAGCTGGGGAAACACGTGAGGTGAGCATCTGCTCCATCTCCTCCTGCCAATAGATTTCCATTATTGCGGGTTGCGATTCGCAGCATCCAGTCATTCCTATTGAGTTCATGATAAGAGCCAGCTTGGTCTCCGGGAGGGACGGAAGCTTCCCCCCCCCCCCCGACTAAATGGTTTACGGAGCCTCACGGATGCATCAAAAACGATCGGACGGTGGCTTGGTGCGATGGGTCGAAATTGCTCCTGAGAGAAGGACGCGGAAATGCGCGTAGTTGCCGCACCCCTCTTAAGCCCTTATGCGGCCAATACGATACGCCTCCGGCTCCTTAGCGTGTTTTTCCGACTTCCCCGGAATTGCATCGCGTGTTCCGGTGAAGATGACCGCATATCGAGCAGCGGGATGGAGACATGTTGAGGACATTAAATCATTTTCATTCCTTTCTCACGCTATTCAGGATCTTCAGAACGCGTTGAACATGTTGTTCCTACCGCTCGACGCCAAGGGGAGCTTCTCACAGTGCCAACAATACGATATCAACCCGAATACGGTCATCAAACAGGTTGTCAAGCAGTACAATTATTTGAACTCGACGATATTGAGCGAATACGTCGCACAAAATAATTGGCCATCAGTTCAATGTCTCGATGGATGGGAGTACGATACCAGTGAATACAGCGAAACACTCGCTACGAAGGTGAGAGTATTTTTGATCGGAGTGGAAGTTTGATTAATGAATATAGGGCAAACGAGGCCTTCAGCTCCTGGTAGAATTAGCCGGAGTCTGATCCTTTCATACCTCAGGATGCCATCCATCAATCCTGTGATTTATGGCGATGCGAGAGGAATCCAAGTCCTTGGCATTTTCCTCAATTGCCAGAGCTCAATATCTGCTGCCTTGCAGTTCAACGCTGTCTGCGATCAGGCGTGGTTACGATCAACGGCGCAGAGCGCTTTTTTCCTCGGCGGCATAATAGGGAGCGTGGCCTTCGGTATGATATCTGACAAATGGGGCCGGAGACCTGCGCTTTTCGGCGCCACGGCGCTCATGGTACTCGGAAATTTCATGGAAGCCTTTCCTCCGAGTTACCAAGCCTATATCGCCATGAGGTTCGCGGTCGGCCTCTGCTATCCAAGCGTTTACAACTTGGCCTTCCTGGTCGGTGAGTAAATCGCCCTCTGGAATACGGGACTCCCACCTTCTGGTTCTTCTCTTACGTTTTCGACCGTGAAACTTCTTGCTCACCTGTTCCGGTCTCAGGGCCGACGAAGGGAACGAAGGGAATATGATTCAGGTTTATAATTCCAGTCGCGGAGATGATCGGCACGAAGAAACGCATGCTGTCATCAGTAGTCTGTCATATTTCATACTCCTTTGGCATGATGGTGATCGCCTATGTTGCCCACTTCATCAGGGACTGGCAAAATTTGCAAATGGCATTTTCCCTCCCGATGGTGCTTCTTATTTCCTACTATTGGTACGTCGCATTCTGGGACTGACCATACCGTGTCATTTCGTAGCACGTACAGACACCTTCCACCGCCTCCAATCAGAATCTGCAGTCAGAATCAGTGAACAAACGGATTTTGCAGGATGGTGCCAGAGTCTCCTCGATGGCTCATCTCTCAAGGACGACTGGAAGAAGCGGAAGCCATAGTTCAAAAGATGGCCCGCATCAACAAAGTTCCATTGTCTGCAAACTTCCTCCAGTCCAACTTGGTGAGTTCCGACAACGAGTTCGAAACCCGATCTCGCTCTAGAATTTTTGCTCAGGGATATGAGGTCGGTCCTTGAAGGCTCTTACCGGCTCTTGCAGGAAGGGCAGAGTCATGGAGCTTCGCCAAGCGGACAGAAATCGGATAAGATCGGGGTGACGCAATTACTACAATACCCGAAGGTCGTGACTAAGATATTCATCATAGCGATCGTATGGAGTCTGAGTGGAATGGTAAGCGATTTAATCTTCGTATTTGGACTGTCATCCGATTCTTGGGAGCTCTCCCGGACGACGAGTACCTCCCTTGCCCACACCTCGGTTTTCGCGAGACTACAGCGGGTGGCGCATTCTCATCCAATCGTCTGACTCGACTCAGCTCGACGTGTTCAAATGTAGGTTTATCATGGAATGAGCTTCGCAACTCCGGACCTACCGTCGGACACATACTTCGCATTCTTCATGGTTGGCCTATTCGAAATTCCGGGGACATTATCCGCGTGGTACACCATGGAACGTTTCGGCAGGAGGAACACAATATTCGTGACCCTCCTCCTCAGCGGAGTTTTCTCGATCGCCACAGCCTTCGTCCCGGACGGTAAGCGTCAGATAAGGTGGACGCATAGCATTTCGAATAATAACGCCATCGCGACGCCGTCCCGCATCGTGGAGTCACTCCACGTGAGATCAACGTCGATTTTCACCACTACATGTATACAGGGTGGGGCAAGAAATATCCACCGATTCCAGGAGCTCGTAGAAATCGAACGAGGAGAGATAACGGAATTCTGTTCGCGTCAGAAGTTGCGTCTTTTCATGCATTTTTATCGAAACGAACGAAGTTACGATCTGTTCATCTCCAGAGCGCTGTGAGGGGAACGCGGATAACGTCGAATCCAAGCAGCGGGGCTACACAAAGCAAGACCCGAATGCTACTGTTGTTTGAAGAGCAGCGCGTTTTTAATTGAACAAAGTTTCACGTATGGCTCGAATATGGAATCGCAACTTAAAATTTCGAGAGCCAGCTCCGGATCGTTCCGGCATGCGGCACTGGCTGATGCCGCTGAAGTTGAAATTTTAACCTGAAAGCTCGTTGAGTCTTTATCACGGAATGGTGCTGCGCCATTTCCATCACTACGAACGCCTTTTCCGTCGCTGACCACTTCATGATCCGACTCTCCAACGATGTGATGCACGTTGACAGAACGATCCTCAAGGATGATGCACACTTCCCAAAAACGAACCATATCCGGAAATCCTCATGTAACGGTTTCATTTTGAACCTAATGTCTAATGTCTGATTTGAGACAATGTGTCCAAAGTCTAAGGTGAATGTGTGTTTGGCTTCGTGGGAACGCACAAGCTTCTCGGTGACCGAAAGCATTCGGGTCCTCCAAGGAGCAGAACGCTGGAAAAATTCCCTTTGACTATGGTCATTTACAGGGCTCAGGACTTTACTAGGCGATTCGAAATCTTTCCCGCGTCCTCATTGTCCGCTATAGGAGAACTGCCAACTTCCGAGAAAAAATGGGCATAATTTCGAAAAGCCTTGGAAGGGATTGGACCTCTTCCGTATATCCTCGCGCAGTGCTATTGGAACGGATTGATCGAAACCACGTTCAAATCAGTAAAATGGCATGGAAATACGAAGCTTCTGACGAAAACAGAACTTCGTTATCTCGCCTCGTTCGATTTCTACGAGGTCCTGGAATCGGTAGATATTTCTTGCCCCACCCTGTACCATGAGCCTCCCGCGTACCGACCGCTATTTTCTCGGCGGGAGTCCACGGATATTCCACCGCGAGTATCCTCCCCTAAATCTCTGTTTCCCCGATGAATTTTTCGCTTCTATCGTCCTGTGAATCTTTTGTCCTCAGACGCCGCATGGCTTTCCATACTCCTAGCGTCGCTCTCAAAGTTCTGCACTTCGTCAACTTTCACTGTGATATATGTGTACGCTGGAGAACTCTTCCCAACGGTCATAAGAGGATTCGCTATCGGCATGGCTTCGACTACAGGGCAGACCTGTTTGGTGATCACGCCTTACATCTTGTATCTGGTAAGAGTCTGTACCGCCATCCTCGCCAACCGCGCCTTGCGAAAGGTTGCCACGAGTTGCTTTCACTGAAGTGATTCTGATCGCACATATTTGCTCGCAGGGAACTGTCCTGGGTGGAGCCGTGCCTTTCTTGATCATAGGAACTCTCGGAGGGCTGGCTGCACTCCTCGTGTTGAGTCTCCCGGAAACCTTGGATTCACCACTACCGTCGACCCTCGACGAGTCCGAAAATTATGCAGAATATCTCAATAGAAGGAGAGAGAGTAGGCAACTGAAGGCTATCGTCGAGGTTAAAGAAGCGCGGGAGCCGACCCGGACACCTCGCAGCTATACGATTAACACATGAAGACGCATGTCAGGCTTAGATCTCTGAAAAGTTGAACGATTGCATCGCCCAAGGAGCTCCGTCGTCTGCTCATTCCCCTCATCGTTTCCCAGACGCTCGGCAACTTCTCTCACCTCGTACCAATAGGTGCATCCCGGCATTCATTTGCCCAGGTCTTCGGACAGGGTCAGCGAAGGCTCTATTGCGTTCCGATGAGAGTTCTCACACGCCGAGTATCCGAGTGGACAAATGTTCATTAGGTTCAAGAGCATTCGAAAGGAGCGTCGGCGTCGGCTGAGGGTATGACTTGTGGTGCTGTCCGCATACACTTGACTTTTTGAGGACCGCGCTCATGAGATCGTCCCATTTGCAGAGCTGTTTGTCATGTCGCGAATCGCGGCGCTAGATGTGGCACACAGCTCTGCTGTCACCTCGTGGCGGGCCGAGCCAAGTTTTGGGGCGTCGGGACCTGAAAGCGATGGAGCGCCCCCACTCCTTTCACGACCCATTCCCTTGCATATGGAATGAAAAATCGGGAAGGGGGAGCTCGGCTCCCTGCCCTTGCTCCCCCTCTCCCTCCCCTGAGTTTCGTCGTTATTCATGAGATGTACGTATATCCGAAATCATGTGCCTGATGTTTACAGAGCGCATCCCGCGTCATGCTGGTCCCCATTCGAAATGAGAAAGCTGAAGGAAAATCATATAAAGCAGGTCATGACTCAAGTCGAATAATTCAAGGATCGTGTGAATTTCTTGAAGCATACTAAATGAGAGTTCGGACTCAGTTCGCGTTTACTAAGGAATGTCCTAGCCGATTCGCCTCGCAGAACCCTTGGGCCTTAGAGGGTCTCCTTGCATGCCGCTATGATCTCACCCTGAGGCCGTTATTACCATATGGACGTGTTATGCGCCAGTTGTCGAATAATAACTTAGAGGGGGATTCCCAGGACGCACTTCATCTGTCAATCGTGTTGAGCATTGACATATGTGGGGCATAGCCTCCGTTGCCCCGTCCTGGGTACGCATCTGATCAAGAGAACTACCGATTACGCTGACGACCGAGAAGGGCTCCAGAACTATTCTCTCGTAGAGTCAGATGTGGGAATGAGGGTGCGTTTCCTAGCATTCAAAGAGAGTCTTCACAATCCGTCCGGGATTCCCCGTCGAGATGCGGGAATCTATCGGCAGAGCTTTATTCTATGTTCCAGACAAAGTTACAACTTTACACGGATGGGTCTGATGTCTCAGGCCCCATGAAGCATGTCCGCCTCTCTCCGGAGAATTAGGCTAGAATTAGACCTTCCCGGCATCGAGGGAGGAAATGCATATCGCTGTCCTATTACAAAATGACCCGTGAGAGCAAGTCTGAATCGGGGGACTGAGTCTCCGGGTACCTATCGATTAACTCCGAGTTTACAAATCCGACGCAGTCCATAAATAGATAATGACTTCATTACGATATTCATTTAGGGCTTCTCGGCGTCTTTCTCGTCTCCCGCTTCTTCCTTGCGTACTCTTGATAGTTCTCGGATTCCTCTAGAGTTGTCGGGAGGGGCACGTTCAGCGTTTCCGGAAGCGTTAGTATCAAGAAGGCGGTGAGTACAGCGAGAATCCCGAGGATCACGAACGGAACCGGTCTCCCGTAGATTTTTCCCTGTAACCGAAATAATCCAATAAGATGAGCCGAGGATCGGACCTCTGGATTATCTGGAGGGAGAACATTCAGGAAAATCGAAATCAAGATAGGCGAGGAGGGTGTACCAAGTATAAGATGTAGGGAAGGATGACCAGGCCCAGTTGCGTTACCGTCGAGGCCACGCCGAAGGCGAAACCTCTTATGACTGTTGGGAAAAGTTCACCCGATAGTATGTACATCACAGTGAAGGTGATGGTCGAGGCCAACTTCGCGAGTGAAGGGAGGAGGACAGCAAGCCATGGCAAATCTGCGAAAGGATCCAAGTCGCTCAGATTCGGGTCCGGCTTAGGACTTCTGCTAGAGGGAAAGCTTTCAGATGGATCCCCCAACGGAATGGGATCACAACCGGGGACTATACACACCGAACGAAACGCAAGCCGTTGCAATCGAGAAAATTCCGCTCACGCCTAGGCTCCCACACATGCAACTCCTTCGACCCAAACTCTGCATCGTGGCCCAGACAAACAGAATTCCCGGAACTTCACACAAAGCCGACAGGAAAAATGCGATGTAAGTTTTCGATGGGAGCTCAGGCACGGCGAAACTCATTCCTTGATAGACCTGCGGATCGGAGACAGCTCATCGTGACTTCATACCGTTAACTTGAGCGTGACACAGTACCATGAGATTAATGTTATATCATGACTTGAATATCTTGAAAGCCTTGCATCATGAAATTCATTATATTTTCGAGCGATTCATAAAACCGGGAGGTCCATGAATATTTTCCCAACCCTATCCCGCGGGGCTAATTATGGGAAGACGCAGCGCGCATCGAGAGGAAGATTTGATTGCTAGATACGAACCATTCCGGTGACGGTCCATACGATTGCCATGACGAGTATTTTGATTGTGACCCTCGGGTACATGAGAAGCAGAGAAAGTCCCACCTTGATCGACTTTTGAGTGCTGGGAGCAGCGGAAGTGAATTCCTCGGCCTGCGAGTCAGACGATCGATTAGGTGAAAGTTGAAAGGAGTTTCGACAAGATCAAACGGAGGACTTGACATGCGTGAGCAGCGCGGAATGCGGTCCTCGGGAACACACGCGATTATTCTCATGGTTCAGAAACATGGACGATATCCCCAGGGAACTCACCAAGTTGTTCCGCAAAAAATTAGACTCCAGAGTAACCCCGTTACTGTCCGCCATTTTTCGAACAATCTTCTCCGCTTCGTCTATCCGGCGTTGGGAAATGAGCCATCGAGGAGATTCCGGCACGACCCTGTCAACGATCGAATCCGATGATATCTTTTTTCGGGAAAATCACTTGGTTGGGGAACGCAATGATAGCCCTTGATCGACAACCGGAGATGAAGATCATGATGTCTCAGCAGCACCACTCTTCTCCACCTCACGAACCAATAGTAAGCGATGAGAAGCAGCATCGGTAGCGAGACCACCGCTTTCAGGCTTCGCCAATGATCGACCAAATGCGCAACGTAGGCCAGCAGCATCATTCCGAACGAAAACGCGATATTACAAACTGCGGACGATAGCATGCGCTTCGAAGAGCCGATCATCTCCGCCACTGAAATGTGAAATTCTGTCAAGAGCTGTATGGACGTCTCCAACGCACGGGGCTGTAGAGATATATGACTTGAAAGTATGTATAAGAAAACGAGTTGAAGGATTCGCTGGAAGGCAGGGAAGCCTCTGAGCGAGCTCCATGAGAATGATCATGTGCGGAACCTCGAGCCTCGGTCGAAGCTACAGATATCTTAAGGAAGAAAATTTACTCACCGATCAGAAAAGAGAGATTGTAAACGCTCGCGTAAGAAAAACCGAGCCCGAATCTCATAATTATGTAGGCCAGATAGTCAGGCGGGTAGATCTCCATGATATTTCCAACTACCATGAGGCCCGTGGCCAGAAGCAACGCGGGTCTGCGGCCCCATTTATCCGAGATCCAACCGAAGAATACGCTCCCCACAGTGCCCCCCAAGAAGAAGCAGCTCTGGGCAGTCGAGATGAGCCATTCCTGGTCGCAGACGACGTTGAACTGCAATGTTCCACGCATACATGTATCCTCCGTACGGAACCGGTGTGGGGGTTTCCATTTCCGCACTGTGAGCGTGTGGGCTCGCTCTGTTTTCTCTCGCAAGGGAAGAGCTACACAATTTGCTTTCGGGATTAGGATTTCCCTGGGAGTGGGTGTACGATCGTGGATGCGTTTTCCGAGCCCCGAGGATCGAAAGCGAACCCCGACAGCGAATTTTCGATAGAATTGGATTGTTCTGGGGTAGATCTTCATGGTCGTCGGCGCAGAGGATAGATTCGACCTAATTCAGACAATGGGTCCCTGAGCGAAACATCGAGCGACGTAGAGCCAATGACTGCGATCGAGAAAGACAAGATGCGTCTATCTGATGAGCGACCCATACCTTAGTTGCCAGGGTCTCGCTGTACTCTCCTGTGTCGTAATCCCAACCATTGAGACATTGAACAGACGCCCAGCGATTTTTCGCGACGAAGGCGCTCAGAGTTGTCGAGTTTATGACCTGGTTGTGCGATACCACTTGGTCGATGACAGTATCTGCATCGACATCATACTGTTGGCATCGGACGAAGCTCCCTTCACTGTCACGCGGCAGGAAAAGGGCATTCAGTGCGCTCCTATAATCCTGAAATGGGCGGAATCGGCGTATAGGTGAATCAATCGCAGGCCATTGTTTTGGGGGATCAGCCTTTCTACATCTGCCCGGTCTGGACGCGGGGTCGATACGAACTCGAACGTGCTCCGAGGGACACGACAACCACGAAAAGTTCTTTCAGCGGCAAGGTTAAGTTTCCGCAAGCGCCTCCTTGCGGGCGACGCGTCGTGCAGACGGTTCGAGTCACATGGAAAGCGCCGTTTGAGAAGACTCCGTGTCCGAGACGCTCCGAACTCGAATTACTCGTTTTGCTCACCTCTTCTGGCGCCAAGCTTTTGTAGAAAAGGTTTGCTTTGTTCGAAGTCACCGTCGGATGACAATGGTGCCCGGGCACGTCTGATATGAAGATAGGACTGAAGATCGTTATGGCCGCTGGGAAAGCCGCGGGAACACAGACGGAGAGGAAGAGCATCTTCTGGTAGCGACCAAGCTCACCAACTTTGATGAGGACCTCATCGAAATCCATGATGGGAATACGGATGTCTGTAAACTTTGATCGATGACTGTATTAGGATGAAAGTATTTAAGGCGAACTCGGTCTTTCGGCCTCCGAAGATGGGGATCTGATCCCGGGGTCAGATGTGTTCCACTTTCAATCCTGCTGTTGATTTTCTATGTGGTGTTCGCCTTCCAAGTGTTCTAATTCCTGCTGGACGGGCAGAGACTGCTCGATCGATTCACCGTCACAACGACGTCGGATTATTCAAGATCCGGCTAAGATTCCGACCAAATTCCTACTCTGCTTTCGGTGGGAGGGATATCCCCTGTGGACTGGGTGTGCCCGTGGGCCACAATTGTCCGATGGACGCTTCTGCTCATTCATCCGCTCCTGGTGCATCTCTTGACAGACCAATCTCATGGGTCACTTGATCGGAATTCATCTCTTGAGCACGTCGATGAAGAGACGAGATATCGATACCCGGAAACCTGACATCTAATTCGTCTGGAATTGCGAATTATAAGCCTACGGATTATTGAAAAGTCTCACAGATGGAGGAGCCTGGCACCTAGAAAGGACTCTGGAATGGGCCATCCTTCCTCCTCTCGACACAAGTATTGCGAACGGTGCAATGGGATAGCTCTGGTGGCGGCAGTCCATCTCCGCCAGCAGACACAGCTGCATAGTCTCGGCATAGAGTATAAAAGCTTAGGGGAAGTCAGTTACTTCTTCGAGGATTTCAGGTTCGGATGAGCTTTTTTTGAAGCGTCCTCACTTTCTCGCTATTGACTGTGATCTGATGCCCCGGAGGTGAACTTCCCCTTATTATCTAAAGGACTCAGAATGAGTGATCCCTCGAGCATCCAGATCCAAAGACTCATGTTCCTTGAGAATAATAGTAGAGCGATCATAATTCGCAGCCATTCTTCAAAAGACCTTGGGCTACTCGTCGCGGATTCACGGCGAGGGAGTGGAGAGACCCCAGAAGCGGGAAACGGCCGGGGAATCTCCACCGATCCAGACAGACAGAGTACAAGTATCCCGCTCGCGCAAATCATCAATGATGCTGATGATCCGTCGACGGCTGTCTCTAGGCTGGTTTTCCTGGATGCATTCTACAACTCTTTAAATGGCATCGGAGAGATGTGCGTGGTCCCAAACAAGCGAAAAGACTACCTGCCCGAGGGGGAAACTGCAAGCCGGAAGAAAAAAACGAACGCGAGCCTCCTAGATGAACAAGGGGGGTTTCGGGATCCTTAAACCTAAAGAGTTTAAAGGGCATCGCTTTCTCTGTGAGGGGGAGCCATCCTCCGAATGCTTACAATTTTTTCTTTCGATCTTCCGATTCTAGAGAAGAGCATCAGTGACTGCTGTTGTGGATAATGCTCATGCCTAGCGTTCCGGTCACATTTTCTAGCCAAATAGCAACCATCATGAGAGCGGTTCAGAACTCACCTTCTGGCGGCCCCTCTAAGGAACTGTTCAGCGCGCTTCGAAGGAATTCGACATGACGAAAAAAGCACTGTCTCCAGTACGCTTTATCCTCTAGAGTGGAATCGTGATTCTGCGATATCAAGAGTGCTGTCGTAGGCCGGACGAACGATAGCAACTGTTCAAGGCTTTTGTGACGGAAGGATTGTCCGATCGTGTTTCACAGATCTGCGTTCGAGAGATACGAGTGGGGAAGAAGCACGTTAGACTCGAAATCCGAGAGGCTAGGGTGACGAATGCCTGAGAAAATGTTCTCCGGCGCTTAAGATGCCGAGGCTAGAGGAGAGGGAGAGTCGATTTAGCATTGGATGATGGCTTTCCGGAGACAATAAGGAAAGTCAGAGGGAGCTGGACTTCTTTTCTTTCTGGACCGTAATACATACATATGTACGGCATTTATTCTCGGAGAAGGAGCAATTCCGTCTTTGAAAGACACAGGGCTTCGAAGCTATGATCTCGATGCGATCCATGCAGAGAGAAGAGGATTGATGAGCTCTGAACGAGAGCGAGCCCCGTACACATTTGTAGGTCTTGGTAATTTCGTGCCGCGTCTTATCTCAATGCCGAGAGGCAGCCGCAACGCGTCAAACCGATCGTTGCACTTTCGCTGGTAAGGTTTCTGGGCTAAGATGGAGAGCTATTTCTCGATACAGAGACCGAATTCTCCAGAAAATGAGCCAGTATGCTAATCACCCGCCAGTATTTCATATGTTGGTATCTGCCTCAAGCTGTAGAGCGGAATCATACCACTTCGTCATGGGAAAGTATGATCATGCATAATTATTGCGGAGCTCTCTTCGGATTGCGAGTCAAGAAAACCGTGGGTTAAGCCTAGGTGATTCTACTAATCCAAGGAGCCCCTTCGCGTGAAGTTCGCCCTTCGAGGCTTATCATCGCGGATCGATCTGTGGTAACGCGGGGGAAATCGACATTCAGACCCATTGATGAGCTATTCCCTTACTCTGACATTAATCCGAGGATAGGAGAAATTTCTCAAGGCACAGTCACATGGTCACTGGATAGTCACGGGGATCTTTGCTTGTTGAGCACTGTGGTTAGGATAAAACCGTAGGAATTACACGTTGTTCTGCCCAGAAATGAGTTGTTCGCACCGAGAAAGTTCTAACGGATGCCTCCGGTTCAGAACCGCCCACTTATTCGAATGCTACTAAGTATCAGTAGCGTGTATAGAGGGGGGGGGGGCAGGGGGACATGCCTCCCCCAAAACGATGCCTTCGTACGCTGCGGTCTATGAGGATCATCATCATCACCTTGCTGGACCCTCCCGAAAAAAAATCCTATATACGCTCCTGCTCAGAATGGGAGCTTTATTCGATCGGTGCTCTTTCTCGCTCAATTGATATCTCTATTCCAAATCAGCCGTGAAGTTTCGCGCGAATTCGCACCAGGCCTTGCCGAGGAAGACCTCTCAAACAACTCTGTCCACGAGACAGATTCCGTGTCGGAGCCGATCCGGTTCTGCTTCCAGCTGTCCCAGGTCAGCAATATCTGTTTACAATGATTCAAGCATTATTTGAAAGAAATTCCGTCGAACTATTCGACATCGACGAGCCAACTATCTACCCGCTCACAACGGTCCCAGTCTCCGAGGCTTCCTGCAACTCGCGGTTCTTGCTCGCGGACTCACTTCTTCCCTCAGCACAGGGGGCGTGACAACCGCGGCTCGAGACGTGCTCAGCTCGGAGAGGGTTACTGTCTCGACTAGCTAGTTCGACCTTCGCTTCTGGCGAAATTTCTCGAGCTTTCAAACCAGGAGGGTGATGCACTCGATCATTTCCGAGGCTGATGCCCTTTGAATCTTCCGACCGGATTCCATGCATCCGCGTCTCTCCAGTGGGAGCAGCGACGTTCGACAGGATATGAACGAGAACATTCTGAATGACCGCAATTAATCGAGGTATGTGGCTTAACTCACGTGTAGCCTCGCTTGCTCGCTGAATCTTGCGGCTCGAGAGATTGTGGGATCGGTCAGTCGTAGGGAATGGAAGCCTCCTCCGTGCTTTGAAATCGGCCTCTATCGGAGAATAATGATGTGGGGAAACGATTCGGGATTTCGGCGGAGCCGAGGTGACGGCAGTTCACCCCAGAGCCTCAAAATCCGGGAACGGGTGGGGGGTAGAAGAGAGAGTTTGAGGAAGAATTCCATCTCGCTCTGTCATGGGACTCAGTCAATAGCTCTTCTGAGACACCATTTGGGCGGGTGTCGTGAAAATCGTTTAGCGGCAGGAGTCGATTTGAGTTTTTCTTTAGCTAGCATCGGATTCATGAAAATGAACGCTAGCTTATTTGGAGTCGGAAGAAGATGACCAGGGAACGAGAGCGATCGAAGAGCGATCTCTTCGACCCGACGTCCAGCGACATACAGGGTGGTGGCAGCTGCCGGCCCATACGCCCTGATCCCACGGTTAAGCTGAGCATGCGGCCTAGGTCCTGCTGCGCTGCTCGAAGCGGTTCAAGTCTCTCCTTTCGGGATCGAAAAGCCTCAATTCCAGATTGAGTTCTTGAATGGTTCACTTGATCAATCCCATCGAGAACAAATAAAGCGAAGCTCTGTGACATCAAATGGACGATCATGGATCCGACAACTGTTTCCTCTGCTTTAATCGCACCGCATTCTTCCCTCATTTGCTCCGGACCGAAAGCAAGAAAATCATAAAAAAGATCATACGAAAACTTTCACTTACCGAGACAATCCAGGGAGAGCCTCCGTTTACCGTCGGGTAGGTATCCCAGCGGGAGGATAAGGAGATGAATTTCGGAGCTCGAGGGGAGCATTTCCGCCGACGGAGAGCTCCCTGATTCCAAGGGTTCAACCACAAGGTCATCGCCAGGGATAAATTCCCCGAGCTCCTTGCAGCTCGAGCGCACTGCTTGAATATGCGATTAAGACAGAATTCGACATCAATCTACACCGACTTCGAAAAACCTTCTTCGCACCTTGTACTTGATCTCTACGCTCGAGGATCTCGAGAATAAGCGACAAGTGGTCCCAAGGCCTCGTCTCAAGGGCCCGACTGATGGGACCGACCGGGAAAGACCGTTCAAGCGATCAAACCTCTTCTAGATTATGTCGCTCATTCAGTACCTCGCGGATTGCGAGAATCAGTGTTTCTGTTCTGCGCTTTCCGGCTGTTCGCTCTTCTCGTGGTTGGAGCTCGGATGATTCATGAATTGAGATGCTTATTGTCTCCTGTGACCGAGACGTCAATTCATGACTTTTAGTGTGAGTCAGATTGCAGTCCCCCGTCTGAGAGGCGAGTCGATACATCTGCAGAGTATCGCGGTACATATTTGGTAGAGTGTTTTTTTGCAGTTTCGCTGCTAACACTGAAAAACAGATCGGATCGCTCCCCCGTCTCTCCCTGCAGCTCTAAGCGGTCGGAATTGAGCTGATGGGGGCGCGAGTGAGATGAATTCGTTCTGCGATAGAAGCTTTTCAGGAACCTAATTAAACCCGTTTTCTCACCGCCTCCATTTCCTACATCGATCTCACTCATACATCCCTTGAACTTTTAATAAGATATTCCAAATGTATGAGAACCATTGAGTGACCCTACTCGATTCAGATGCAAATACTACTTCTCAACTCGATCGATGGACCGATAGCGGAGTATTTTCCTTCATTTCATACCTATAGAAAGGGCTCCACAGAGCTCCTCCACGGTTTTCACGGCGGAAAGAATAGGCGATCATTGCTTGCAAGCTCGTTCAGAATCCTTGTGGTTCGCTTCGAAGACACTGTCGTAAACTCCGGGTGAAGAATCTCCATCTGGATGACCTATGATTCCCGTCTATTCTCTCATGTCGCATGGTTCTCTCTGCAAGGCCTAGGCGCAACGTTTAGATAGCGCATCGGAGTACTACGCTTTGGTACACCCCGTTTGGCCGCAACCGCCTGGCCGCAGGATTGTTTTGCCGCGATTGGGAGGGAAGGCTCTCAGGTTTTTTGTGGCAGGGATCTATGAGGGGAAACTTCAGGTGTTGGATCAACGAGCGAGTCGGCTCCTGGATGGAGATACCGAAGAGGGATGTACGCATCCCCTTGAATAAATGAGTATTCAGCTCGTGTCCACACATGGCACACAGAAATCGTTCTTTACGGAGAAGACTCGGCCCAACAGCCGCGGCCGAATGGGGCGCTCCGACTACGGCTCATTCTATGACGAAATCACGACGACGGGAAGCTCGCTTTTGGCGCTCCAACTCAAACCTTCTGGGACTTTGAAATGTTTTGCTTCGATGCTTTATTCATGATAATGAACAAATTCATTACCCGGCACAAGAGTACGAGATATTCTGCAGTTTCCGAAGACGAAGATCCCTAGAAATCATGATCGAATCTTAACCTGGAAGTGAGGGTCGACCGCGCAAATGCGTCAGCAGAACTCTCCGCGCGTTCAGCACTTGCGAGATTTTTCGTCGGAATCCCTATTGGGACTGACTGAGTCGGCATAATGTCTTTTGCTATCAGTCATGTATGTATATACCCATTTCTCTGACCTACCTCCAGGCCCGACGAGCGACGATTTCGCGCGGGGCCGCGCAGCTTCGAGCCGCGGAGAGCAGGTACGAAACAAGTAGAGAGGTAAGGAGAGAGCTGCAATTATGACATGTGTAAAACAAATCATTTGTATAATTCATTTTTGAAACATTTGGTGGAAGTTTGCTTACTGTTCGCAGCTCCTAGTCAGCCACTGGCTCTAGAGCTCCACAGACGAGTCATGGACTTCGACGAGGTCTTATCTCTCCTGGGAGAGCTCGGCCGCTACCAGAAATGGCTGCTCCTGTTCGTTGCTTTTCCGGCGAGCCTCCCGACGGCTGTGAACACCTTCGACCACATATTCATCTCCGATGTTCCAGAGCATCATTGCCACGCACCGATCTCAGATGAGAAAGCCTCCTTGCTGCGCACGAAATTGGCACCATCAGAGGTATGAATCTGGAAATCTATCGCAGTAGGCCGCTATGAGGTAAAGTCTGTACTGCTGCCCCACAACCCGGGGCTTGATTGATACTCAAATCTCATACGTGCTCGCATGAAGTGCCTCCCTCGTCTGATAGACAACTCGAGCTCGCAACGGGAACACGTATTTCGGTACTGAGAGTCGGAGAGCAGCTCATGTCGGGCGGAGGACAGAGCTGTTATCCGGACTCCGGAGCGCGGCGAAGCATTGGAACCGTGAAAAGAACAGCCTGTCTTACTCATTATGATCCCCGATTCCTGGAATTGGAATGCATATTCGAGACTGAAGTGCTTCCTCGCAAGCGTGAATCCTGATCAGACTGAATACATCCCACTCGACATCTCGTTGGAGAGCTTTCTCGTTCTTGGGAGTGTCAATGTACCCGAGAGAAAATTCATCACTCGCGATCCACTCACCACCGATATCGTGAGTTTTGGCAGAACACGGAGGACGCCAAGAGACACGGAGGGTCCCGGACGGCGTATTTAAAGCCGCACAACACAGACGAGCAGCGCCGTCTGATCGTGACGAGACGTGAGCCCTAATGGAATAGCAAGCTCCGATAGAAAAAAACAGCCGACTCGAGAGATTAAGTCCCAGCCCTGCGAAAAGGAATTGCTTAGCGAAGAGACGAGCTGATTGCTCTCTAAACGAGCCGCGTCCCTTGTGTGGAGGTACATACGCGCTTCGTTCGTGGCTCTTCTGCTCGGGAACCGGGAGAGTTTCGACGATTTCGTGGGCTCACACGATCATCTCTGTAAGACGAGACATCAGTCAGTCCTACACTCTTCCCAAGGAAAATTCGTTTGGACCGCTTCGGCTGGATGCTCCCTGGAAGAGGGCTATAGCGATTCTCGGAATTCGATGCCTTGAGTGTACCGTGTACCGTATCTGCGCGCCATATTTCTGAGTGAGATACCCGAAATTTCACGAGAGGGCCTAGTCTCGCTGTCGATCCCTAGTTGAGTCATGACTTCTGTAGGAGAAGAGGGGGAATACATGAACCCTTTCGATATGGAATCAAGCATCGGTGATACTCCGAGAGAAAGCCCTGGAAAGCATTCTTCACGAGAGCTTTTGCCTAATGATTCCGTTAGTCGCTGACTGTGACAAGTATTTCGCATGATTATTTGCGCACTAGGTCGCAGCTTTGCGCTACGGGACGGACTCTCCAGATGCTATGATCCTAATTATAAATCAGGATGAGCTGGCTAGAATGCCGACGTGGGCTAGTGTCGGATGTTTTGAGGCCAGGCGCTTAGGACTCAGGGAAGCTAGATGCCTGTCCCAAATGCGGAGGCCGTGGTAAGTGCCCGGAGTCGGCCTCCTGTCATCGACCGAAATCGCTTAATTTTCCATTCCCCTTTCGTACGTACAGGTATTATATGAGCTACTACGCAGTAATACAGATGCAGACGCTAAAGACGACGCTAAATGCGGCAGACGGAACGGCTAGGCCTATACTGACTCAAGGCTACGTGGGACAGAGTAGGTTTTGAGTCCAAAGCCTCTCCCTGCGAGAACGAGAGGAGCTCATTTTTTGAGATCAGGTGCTCCATCTATTTGTTTTCGCAAGATTTTGATAACATGCCTCCCCGGAACCTTGACTCAAGGACTGAGGCATGGACCCGACGGGGAGGGGGGCATAACCACCCCGGTCTCGCTTTTGAGCTCGGCACTGACTCGGGCGCCCCTAGATTCCAGGGATGTAGCCGATCGAAGGCGACGCGCGACTCGATGAACTTGGAACGCATTGAAGTCCCATGATTCGAGTGGAAGGTATTCCCGGAAGACTTTACTCCCTTTGCGGCGCGGCTCCTCCTAGGCCTGCATGAGGGTTGCGTCACGCATATTGCCACAAGTCAATTCTATTCACCTGCTATCACTGTATCATCTGCTCGAATGCACAGTATTGGCTGCCGAAGCAAATTGCTCGATCGCTCAGAGCTCGCTGAACATAGCCGGATTCCCATCCCTCTCGATGCACCAATGGGACTCACCTCCCTCCGAAGTGATAAGGAGCTCCTAATATTATTTACAGTCGTGAATTTCATTCACCCCGAAATGGTTGAGACTTGGACCTGCGAGCGAACTCTCCGCCACCCGAAATTTCATTCAAAGGTTTATTTTGCTTCGACGGGGGATCACATGATAAACATCCATACATGAGTGATTAGTCCGAACCCGACCCGAACTTCTCTGCGGAATGTCCCATCGATGAATTTCAAAAACCAATGGAGTGTCCGGAAAAACATGGGGGAGCACGATCGGCATCATAATTCTTCTGCCTTCTCTAGGACTATCGAGAGGCTTTGCAAACGTTGTTTCTTCCGAGGGACGCGTACGGAAAGTTTTCACGGTGTCAGCAGTACGATATCGATTTGAACTCTGCGATCACCCAAGTTGTCAAAGAAGACAAAGATATCAACTCCTCAACTATCGAGGATTTCGTCGCGCGAAACCGATGGCCATCGGTACGCTGCGTCCATGGCTGGGATTACGACACCAGTGTGTACCCCGAAACCCTTGCTTCAAAGGTGAGTTATCGGCCGATAGTTTCCCCGCCGGGGAAAATCATGGAACTTATATTAGAGCTCGGGAGTTCAGGCATTTCCCCATGAATGTTTAGGGGCGCTTTTTTCGACGCTTCTCTATCGAGGTTTTTCCGCGCCTAGAGTATCTTTGCGAGCCACCAAGGCGCTGAATTCCGGGAATTTCGGGTAAATATAGGGTCTACGAGCCGATCCGGCCATGATTCAGGTCAGCGGACCCATGTTCCAGGGATACATCTTGCTCCCGATAGAATCCGATGGTCTGCCTAGAGGTCAAATTTTTCTTCGATGATGTAAAATTCTAGCTATCAAGCTTAGAACTAACCGAGAATGACTCCGGGAGACCACGTGAATTTCTCATCAAACGGCACTGACGACCGGTTTGATGCGGCGTTCGCCCTGCCCTACACGCCTATTTGGCCTAGTTTCGGTGCCTATACTGACGTGTTTCGGTACCTTTCCGCCTGCCATCTTCGGCAGTTTTCAGTGCCTGAACTCCCGAGCTCTACCAATATATGATGAGGAAATCCAGCTCTGGATGTGAAGGATACATGTTCGAAATCCATTCTGCAGTTCAACGTTGTTTGTGAAGACCAATGGTTGGTTTCAACAGCCCAAGGTGTTTTCTTCCTCGGCGGAGTGATAGGGAGCGTGATTTTCGGTTGGATCTCAGACCGATGGGGACGACGGCCGGCACTGCTGCTTTCGACTGCGCTCATGACGAGTGGCAATCTCGCTGGTTTCTTCATCCCGAACTATGGTACCTACATGATTCTCAAATTCATCGTCGGCCTGAGTCATCCCTGCGTTTACAACACGGCATTTGTGATTGGTGGGTGCTTGTCTCACTTCTCCTTCTTCTTCCGTTTTCCGTCGTAGGATAGACCGATCGGCCCGCTGAACCTATGATTTAGTCGACTCCGGTGAAGATTTATGATTTAGCTATGATTGACTTTTCAGCGACCGAAATGTGCGGAAAAGGTAGACGGATGACATCGACGATCGTATGTGATCTCTCGTACGCCACGGCGATCATGCTGTTCGCAATCGTTTCTTATTTCGTGCGCCATTGGCGGACCTTGATAGCGACCACCTGGACACCTATGTTACTCTTCATCGCTTATTATTGGTAGGTCTCTGGATCTTCTACGCGGGATGACGGCCCACGTCACACTCTCGATCTCTTTGAAGACTCGACCTGCCCTGTCTCAGGTTGGTTCCGGAATCTCCCCAGTGGCTGATCTCTCAAGGCAGGGTAGACGAGGCTGAAGTCATCGTCCAGAAGATTGCCAAGGTCAACAGAGTTCGGATCGAGCCAGACTTCCTGCGGAAGAATTTAGTAAGTCACCTTTGCGGGAGTATTTCGGTAAGGATACGCACTCAAAAGCGAAATGGATAGCGGATCCGCACTCCTCCCAAGGGAGATATAGAGTCGGAAGACCCATGGGAGTCTTCCCAAGAAGGCGTTGAAAATCCGGGGAGTTTCATTCTAGACGGTTTCATGAGGGATAACCGGGCTTTTGGAACTGAATTCGAGTTCTTCCCATTAAAGGCACATGATCTGCTATCGATCAAATCCGGTCGTCAGGATTCGAACAAGGTCGGAGTTGCGCAGCTTATAAAGTATCCGCGGGTCACACTGAAGCTGATCCTCATGATTATCGTTTGGTCGATTATTACTCTGGTGAGTGTGCGCCGACTACCTACCCGAATTGCCCTCCGGCGACTCTACCGGGAATTTCCTCCAAACTGATTAATTTCAGACTTGCAATTCGCTGAGTTTCGCAGCACCTATAATGCCATCGGACACATCCGTCGCGTTTTTCCTATCCGGCTTGTGCGAGGTTCCAGGGATTTTTTTAGCCTTCACGGCAATACAATATTTCGGTCGCAGGAGCACGTTGCTCGTGACTCTCTTCCTCTCCGGAGTCCTTTCGATGACGACGGCTCTCGTACCGGACGGTGAGGCTCATCGCCAGCGAACTCGAATCGAGATTTTCATCCACATCTTCCGGCACGACGTGGTCCATGGGCCCTCGCTGAAATTTTTCCTTCCAGAATATCCATGGCTCGGCGTGCTGCTACCGTCTCTCGCGAAATTGGTGATTTCAATCCCCTTCTCTGTTATCTACCTGTATACCGGGGAAGTGTTCCCGACGGTGCTGAGAGGTTTCGCTTTCGGTGCGTGCGCGACGGGATCCCAGACTTCGATGATAGCGTCGCCGTATATATTGTTCTTGGTGAGCTCACCCCGGAATTCGGCATCCAGCCCACTGCAGAGCTCCATAAATCACATTCCTTCTCCGAGCTAGTCGGAGATTAGGCTGACTTCATCAATGCTATTCCAGAGTACCATATACGGGAATCACGCTCCATTCATTGTCTTCGGAGTGGCCGCTATGTTGGCTCTCCTACCGATGCTCGCTTTGCCGGAAACACGCGGCGCACCTCTTCCGACGACTATGGATGAGTCGGAGAATTATGCAGACTTCGTCAAGAGGGCGACCAATGTCGGCGCAGCTGATAAGCGTGGTGCTGTGCCAGACACGTCCAGGGTAGAGACTCGGAAAGAGGGGTCTACAATGCAACTGAGCGGCAGAAACCTATCATCCGGTCCAGCGACATGAATCCGCTCCACTAGGCAAGGTTCCTACTATTGCTGACATGTGTTTTACACCTAAATACATCAACGGTAACTTCCTCGATTTCTCATGTTTGATGTTTACGAGGACGTGAAGAGAGCTCCCCGGGATCCTTCATGGCTTGGGAAGAATGGGTATTCGCCACCGGAGTCAACATCCTCAGATCTCTGTGCCGAATGAGAATAAAACTCTGCGGAGAGGGAGCCAAGTCCGCGTTCTCCGGAGTTCTACGTAAAGCTTTCGGAGGTGGATGATCACGGGGAGAGCACTCACCGAGAGGGGGAGCGTCCGATCGGAGAGCACAATCAATAGAGTTGTGAATAATATGCATCCCGATACTCACATATGCATCCCGCGGAGAGCTCATCGAGGAGCATCAGGGAGTGTCTGGAACGTCGGAAAATTTTCTGATTGGATTGATCGATCGCTCCCTCCCCATTCGGGATGTTTGCGGCTGAAAGTGAGTCTGATGCACATGCATACATAGGTGGTCAAAATCTTAAGAACTGCAGCTGGAATTACCGAAGAGGGCGCCGTTCTCAAGATTCAGGAAACTCTTTGCTCGAAATGAGCTCGACAGGTGACGCTGAAAAGCTTTGACGAAAGCAGCAGAGGGTCCGATGGTGAGCATTGCTCGGACTATCTAACATTGCCCTGGGTGCAGCTCGCAACTGATCAATCGGGATCACTAGTGTTTTGCTGCGAAAAATCAATCCGGCGAGAGATCTGATACTCACGGTGCTAAACTTCCAAATGGAACGCTTGAGTTCCTTTGCTGATGGAGGATCAGAAGGCAAGGGCTCTCTGAATCCTCATTCTCAAGTAACCCCTCGTAATGCGAAATGAAGAATCGCATCCATGGATGCGGAGCTGGAGAGGCGACGGTCGCTCGTCGATACTCGCGTCGCATTCCATACTCCGAACATATCCTCGCTTCGGGTATCGGCTTTGAGCGAGATCTTTCTCCTCTCATCATCCGTGACCCTGACTTCCGGCAGAGTCTGCAATTTAACGCTCATAGGCTTAAGGGTTCTACGCTCATAAAGCCGCTGATCTGGTCCATGACATTTGGAAGCTATGCGTTGCTTCCGAAAGAGACGCTCATTTTGCTCATCGACTCTCGCTATTCTCAATCATGACAATCAAGAGGTATCCGAATACTCAAGGATATTGACCCAAACTATTCACGCTCGTATCAAAGGCTAGAAATTCCCCAGTGTCGGGGTCCGGAGGAGTTCTTAGGACCTAGCTCTATACTATTTCGATTTTATGCTCTTGACGAGTCTACAAGCTCGAACTCGACATGAAATGGTGATCTCCACTCGATAACCATTCTTCAGCTGCGAGCGGGAATGAGAATGAATTTTCGGCAACTGACGGGGGGCGTGATGCCTGCTCGATCGGCATTACGTTCTGCTCCGGGCTGTTCTACGAGCGTAATTCTTCCGAATCATTATTAGTCTCCGTCCCCTGCTAGTTTGTGAGTTGGCAGCCGCTGTTTCTGGACATTCTAGTTCTAGACGGTCAATAATAATTCCAGAGAATCCCTCTCTCAACTCTCAACAGCACTGCGAGACTTTCCACGTCGGTACACCACGGACCATTCTAGTGATCACGTTGACGGACTGAAACTGGATCGCATGGAAGATTGAGAGGAACGATCCAAGCGAGTCGGGACCTACCACCGAGTATTACACAACATCGAGGATCCACCATGGAGTTCGATGAGGTCCTGTCCGCAGTCGGTGATCTCGGCCGCTATCAGAAATGGCTGTTTGTGCTCCTCTGTGTTCCGGCTAGTCTGCCTGCGGCGGTCTCAATATTCAACCACATGTTCATTTCGGGGGTGCCTGAGCACCAATGCCACCCGATCATCTCGGCAGATAGAGCTTCTCTGCTCGAGAAGAGCTTGGCAGCACCGGAGGTACGAATGGGGAACTTGGTCGCGAAACTTTCCGGGTCCCGAAGACGCAACGCATCAAGCGGGAGACACTCAAATATGTTTTATCGCTCATGATCATGATCATCTCGTAGCTCATTA